TTTTTAGACTAAGCACTTTTCCTGGTGCCTCTTTGCGGACCTCTTTTTGTGTAAGGAATGTCCTACACGAAGTGTAGAGTATCGTAACCGGCCTAATGCTTTACATTCACAAAGAATATGTGCCGATGTCTCGGGTTTCTTCTGACAGAATCGGTCTGTTTCTGTCTCAGTTCAGCCATCTTCTTCAGATGATGGGTCAGCTTTTGCTTTCCTTGGCGCATCACGTTGTTTAACTTTTTTACGAATATATATCTCAAGGGGTTGAGTAGACAGCGATATCGTCAGCCAGAGCCATTTTTACATTTTTTGTGCATAGTGTGCTAAAATTTATAATTAACAGGATTTTGTTTGAGTCCAAGGAGGAGCCTTGAGGAACACCTGCAGCAATGTCCTGCATGAAAGACAGAGTGGTCCATTTTTATTATGTAAGTAGGGAAGTTGGACTCCATTATCCTACTGACTGCCATTATGCCAAACATTGTCTAAGGTATTTTGCTTGTCGTTTAAACTAGGATTAAACCATCTACTATCCAGGCTAACTGGGCAGTTCTAGCCTGAACTCAAATTGTTGTGGCATAATGATGCTGCTATTGATTTAATTATGCAGCAATGCCAGTGAGCTACTATGTTCAAAAACTTTGCTGACAGAGATAACCCTTCTCAACAATATACCACTGTAAGGTAAAGGTACGACATACTTACGAATGGGCTTTTTTTTCAAAAACACCGGCACCCTGAGGTCATAGAATCAATATGACCTCTATTGTTTCGAACCCTCGCAAATAAATAAGTTAGTGGTTTTAGGTGTGTCATTTAGTAAATTCTATTTGATATGCTTTAAATTAATAAATAATATACTATAAAAATATCGTTATTACTAAGAATATAAACCAAATTTGTTATTTTAAAATATGTAAATCCTCTCCTGAGACTTAGAAATAATTTATTTTGGATAAAAAGTCAATATAATTACCGTTTACCTAAAAGTTTTTTTTAATTATCCTGTTGTTGACTATCAATTAAGCCTTTAATGGAAAAAGCAAACCTTTTAAATATAAATTATGGTAAATTTTCAATTTTTTTTTAGCACGTGTGGGTTATTTTTCCTCACCCCTTTCAGTGGAGGTCTTTTGATGGCCTAACGTGAGCCAAGACAAGGGAATATTGGAAAACGCTCTCCAAAGTATTACATGGAGATACCCTCACATTTTTCCTTCCATACCCTTTTACTCGGGTCTCATAGAGGTTTTATTACCCCTCTTCTCCTTTTTTTTGTTGATTGATTAAATACAAGATTTGGCCCATTCCCTCTTCATAACATCGTCGATTTGTAATACATGTAATAAGGTCGACATAAATTCAGAACTCACATACAATGGTTTGTCAGTAGCAGGTAACACGTGCACACTTGGGGGTCTGATGGGACATAACTTCATGGGGTTTGATGAGGGTTATGACATAACTGATTTTTCGCCTCGTGAGATCACTGCAAGAAGCTACTAGCGCTATTGAGGGGACTGTTGGGGTTGTGACACACTCGTAAGTTTGATTCAACCTTCCTAAGTCATTATTAAAAATGCCATACTGTTATTTGATGAGTCTCACCAACTTTTTCCATAAGTCAAAAGCAATTTTTATTCCTTCAGGAGTTCTAACTTCTTAGCTTAGTTGTTTCAGCAGCTCCTTACACAAGTTTAAGCAATTCGTCTAGTGTGTCAGTAGCTGCTTGCAGTGACGTCACAACCCCCATCAGACTGCGTTTTGTTGCAGTGCACTAGGCGAAAAATCACTGACGTCATAACCCCCATCAAACGCCGTCAAGTGTGCCAGGACCATCCTTTTCTCACTGTTTTCTGTTTCAAATGCGCTTGGACGATCGAGAAAAATAATCAGAAATAAAACCCACGTGATTTCACGAATGTTGTGATGCTAAAATAAACGACTTGAATATTATCTGTTCCTAATCGATCATGTCTTTATTATTACATAACTCTTATCTTAAAAAAGTTTGTACTTATCTCTAAATACAGTTTTTAGTAAAATGAAAATCGTTCTTGTCAATTAAATTTTGTATCCCACAGTTTATATAACCGAAATAATAACTATAAAACTATCATCACTAAAGCGGTCATGTTTTTCTCAAAACAATTGTTTTTGTTTGTTGACTGTTGTCAATTTTAAATTTATAATGAGTGGTGATTAGTGACCGTTAATCGATAATTATTCAGAAATCGTGAGATGTGTAATTGTTCCATTCTTGCGTGTCGTGTTGAGAGTGGGCACTCTCAATACGACACGCAAGTATGCCTCAATTAGACAGAAGACAAACACTTTGGGCCCTGAAGATGATCTCAATAAAGATCGAAACGTTGGCACGATAAAGAAAATGTTTTTCTGAAACCTACATCACACCAGACCGCATCTCACGATTTCTGAATAATTTAAATTTATAATTAAATTCCACTGTGGAACATTCTATTTTTGGAAAATGTAAATCACAATTGAGTTTATAGGAACAGTAGAATTATCTGCTCGCTGTCTACAGCAGTCTTCAAATAGTTGTTTAATTATATTAAAATGTAATGATAATTTACTGTTTATTCATTTTCATGTTTGCATTTTAGCCTTTTGTAAATGATATAAATTACGATACAATCTGTATTATGTGATATATTGTTAAAGGACGCGCAAGAAAATTAATTATCCACTTTTAGAACCAATTTATGAAATTGTATATTTATAATATAACTAATTACTTACAAGTTAATTACTTATAAGTATAATATGATTTCGTTTTTACAATTTCATTATAACATCACCCTTAATAGGTTTTTGTGTCTTGCTTCATGAATCCTTTTCAAAAATTGAAATCGTAAAAAAAAAAAGAAAAAAACAGTGACTTTATATAAATTTTTTTTTACTGGGGCTTCCGACATCTAGGTCATTTCAGCCTCAAACTAAGTCAATATTCTATTTACACTTTCAAACACTACATTCATACAATAGACTCATTCCGTTTGGTCGGTTGAGTACTTGATATTCCTCCATTGACCTATACTCAAACTAATCTAGATTGGGGTCGATGGAGTACTTTTATAAATATTCCGCCATCGACCCCGAAGACACACTCATACGCTCTCAACGTTAGAGGGGCGATGATGATGTTATATTTCATCCTCACCCCTCGCCATTCACGCTAATAAATACATGCACTCAGACAAAACATACAGACACACAACACATAAGACATACTATATACAATAAAAAACTCCAATTTCCCCTAAAAAGCGGAACAGGGGACACTGAAACACGCTGCAGTGCTGGAGAACTTTTCTTAAGTCCGGCGACATACCTACACGCTCTCTGTCTAGATATTGTTCTAATACATTTAAATATGATTCGATAACTTTGTTTTTCAATTTACATTTTTGAATTTTAATTTTGCTTTGATTGTAAATTTCTTAAAGTTCATTTTTGACTAATATATATATATATATTTAATATTTTTTTGCCGGCTAACTACTAAGCTTTCTGAGTCTTCTTATGCCTCAACTAAACGACTGTTGCCTTCCGATTCACCTAATTCACCTAATAGGAGATTCCTATATTTATACACATTTTCATAATTCACATTCATACTAATTTACTAACCTACACTACAACTAGATTATCGTAATCTTGCGACCTCCTTTCTTTCACACTAATAAAAACATTCAAACGGTATTTACAAATTTCACTCATAAACTAAACTATCCTAATCTAAATTGTTTGACGGGCCTGTGAAGTATTGGATATTCCTCGACAGCTACGTCCTTTCACGCATCACCTCTCACGTTAATAAATACATTCATTCTGGCAAGCCATTACATTTCGGAAGTATAGCACCAACAAAATGCCAATGACCCGTCCCTCATATCGTACTACAAATATATAACATACTACTAATATTGTTACAATACTAAACTGTAACACTGCGAGTGTTTAATGTTGTTTAATTATTCATTTTTTGCGAGACATTTTCCACTGCAGTACAGTCTGGACATTAGTTACCTGAGAATGGGCGAAAAATACATTAATTTCACCACGAAAATCAATAGAATTCGAACTATTGCTCGAATACGACTGGCCTGGAATAATTCCTCTTATTATTTTAAAATGAAATAAAAAGATTTAAGTTTATTTCCCCAATTCCTGCCCGATTTGTCGCCACGAAAATGACGACCGCGCTCATGTCCTGCGCTTAATATTCAAGGATTATTTTTCCTCAACAATTAACTTTTCACCTACAATTTTACAGACCATATTTTGAAAGTCTGTACTTGCAAACAACTGAAGAATATATACTTTTTGAAATTAAAGCCTGTACAAGTTCGAGAATTTGCAACGGACTTAGACCCTGGTAGACTGTAACATATATATTCCTGTATTGATACAGTTATTTTTGAGAACGATTTTATCATTGTAATATTTTAGGCAATTATTTATGTTAACTTCGTTGTTTTGCTTGTCCGTTTGTAAAAAGGTGTGTATATTATGAAGTTATGAAACTTTATAATATGTACAATAACTTTTTTGTACTTTTGTATGTTATTTTCTTTAATTTGGTTACAAATAATCCTTGCAATCCTCCAACAAGTGTTGTAACTCAGCATGGGTTTACAATTAAATAAATAAAAATATACAGTCTTATAGAAAATATTTGATTTGAGATTTTTCTCTCTGATGCTCGGCGCAACATAATTTTTCGTTATACAAAAGTATAAACAATATTATCCCTGTTTTTTCATGTTTTATGGGCAATATAATGATGATAAATTTTATGACTATTTACTATTGCACATCAAAAATATTTACCTGAGAAAATTTTATAACTTTGCAAGCGATGTTCCCTGCGTTCCATTCGACTGTACTCCTCCATATAATATCCGTCAGGACGCTTAAAACGCCCACGCATAAATCTGTAAAGAAAACAGGTCATTTTACATTTCCTGCCAACTCTTATGGTGAAGGGTAAATAATTAATCTAAACGATTTTATATTACAACTGGGCCAAACATCGGGAGGGCTTGGCAGGGCGAGGTCCCGTAGGAAAATACGTCTGAAAAATGAGTTTTTGCCGGTTATTTATTTTCAAGTTAACTGTTAATTGTTCGAGTGTTGGGGGTTTGGGTTAAACGATGCGGAAGGAGGGGACGAAAATGTAACTCGGAAGCTGCAAATCATCCCCTGGACCAAACGCAGGCTCGCCAACAGAAACCCATTTAAAAAGGCGGGGGCGTTCTTAAGAATAGCGAGTCGAGTAGTACCCCTGGCTAAATAATTTCGTTACATGAACACTAAAAAAAGAAGAAGTGAAATTAAGTGAAGTAATGAATAAGCCGGGATTTATCAAAGAAACTTTTTCACGATTTCTTCAAAGATGAAAAGGATGTTTTAAAGGGTTTCTCTCATCTTATCTCAAAAAATTGAAATAAGCAAATCTATGCAATCAGAACGTTTAGTCCAGCGTGTTCAAGTGAACGATATAAAGAAAAATGTCATTATTAAAAACAAAATCTAGATAAAAAGCAATTACTAGAAAAACTTTTCCTTTTAGAATGCAGATTTGGCATCAGTTATTATCATTCATACAAATTTTTCTCAAACGACTGGTTAAAAGATAGAGGAGATAATAAAATCTGCATTGATTAATGACCGAAATTTTTTAAAATAAATAATGAATAAGGCTTTACCTAAAAAGGTTGTCTAGTACTTCCGGATCGATCGGGATAATTTTTTTTTACGGAAAAGTTTAAATTACCAGATTGGAAAATAGACTACCAATGGATGTTCGACGGGTCAGATTGTCTCGTAGGATAGCAAATGTGATTACTCTTGGTTCCTGGCAGTTAATTTATTTTTGAGTTTAATCCACCCTCTCAAAATTGGGAAATTCCCTTTCATCCTATATGAGAATTTATGAATGGCCCTTGACGTTATAATTAAATTAATATCTAACCGAGTTATATTTATTCTCCAAGACAGGCAGTATTATTACAAAAAGGGTATGTTAAAGATTGACTGAAGGTAAAATTTTGATGTTAAAATATCATTCATGACATTGAAATTTCTGATTTTCCCGTATGGAACAAATTTTAACAGGCTTCTGCTCAATTAAGAGGAAATCAACTTGTTTAATAATGACAATTAATTAAGGTCTTTAGTTGAGATGAAAAAAAACTAATGGCACGAGTGGGATTCGAACCCACGACCTTCGGCTAGATACGCCGCTGCTCTACCACCTGAGCTATCGTGACCTCGATACACTCGGACATCAACTCCCCATCTCAACCCCACCTTATCAGTTTTTCCTACTTTTGCCATTTTCACCACAATAAGTAGATAAAATGTAGTTATTAGATATATAAAAATTGTCTTAATCTTTTAAATTATTGTATACAATTATGACCAAATTTGTCCTCAGGCTTTAGGAGGATTATTCGGAACAGGGTGATTGCTGATTCTACTGTTCGTTCCTTTCACACAAGTACACCAAAACAAGCTGCAAAGAAAGACTATTATGAAATCCTTGGACTCACCAGAAACTGTTCAGCAAAAGACATTAAAAAAGCTTATTACCAGTTGGCAAAGAAATATCATCCTGACACCAATAAAGAAGATCCCAATGCTGCTAAAAAGTTTCAAGAGGTTTCAGAGGCTTATGAGGTATGCACAAACTCAAATTTTGCGTGGGCTTTCTTTTTTACAACCATTGCAAAATACGAAATTTATTTTTAAAAAGTAATACTAAAGGTATGTGTCCCCATATGTCCATCTAAGCGCCACTTAGTCCAATGAGGATGACATTCAATTCACTGAATACATACAATTTTAAATTCGCTGAAATCCATTTTCAGTCAATAGAAATATTGTTTAAAAAATTCCAAAATTTCAATTCTAGGACTTTGATAAGAATATTTTACCTAACGCTCTATTTTTCTAGAGTGCTTAGTTTATTAAGTTATTAAGGTTTTTTAAATATTGTTTTGAAAATATTATTAGAAAATCAATCCTGTGACCACAGCAGTGTTTCCATAAAGGACTAATGAATTTAACTGTATGCCTTGATGACAAGATCGTGAGGAGTTAGTGCAGAGTTAATCTCTCTCTATAAATCTAAAAAAATATAATAACAGTTTTATTGGGGAAAAAAAGAAGTTTTTTGGTGTGAACTGTCAGTTAAATTTTTAATATGGCCTCCCCTGGCCTTACAAAACAGGAACCTGAGTTTTCATTTCACACCACACAGAAATGTAGAGAGATATATCTCTAGAGTTATATCTCTATAACATTGGCTGTTTTTATATCATTCTTTAACTGGCTTATATTATTTGGAGGTGATTGGTACACCACATATTAATGTGCCCCATAGAAAGAAATTAGAGATGTCAGATCAGAGTTCATGGTGACCCCTTGATTAAAACTGCACCTTCTTATCAATCGCAGGAAAACGAGAATCTAAAAATTTGATCCCCTATTCTTGTGTAATTAGTAGCTCTCCATCATGCTGAAAAATAATTGCTCCTTCTTCCAAAATGGGGGAAAATTCTTAATTTTTTCTACAACGTCCCCAATCAGCAAGCAAATAAGGTAATCAATTTGTGGGAACTTTCTCCTCTTAAATTGCAATCATGAAGAAAGGTCCAATGATATCCCCAAAATCCCTGGCAAAATGTTTACTTTTTTAGAATATCATGTGTGAGATTCTTTCATTGTATGAGAATTAGAGTTACCCCAATATCGAACCATTACCAACACATTTTTTCCCTTCGTCAGCTCTTTTCACCTCAAAGAAGCCGACGCCTTATACAAAAATGTCTTTTCTATACCAACATCCTTCAAAACCCCCTAAAAATCCAACATATATAAACACAAAATAGCAAAATCTCACTGGCACTCTCGACATGTCATGCAAGAATGGCACAATTACACAGAAGAGTGAACACTTTGAGTGAGTAGAAATACTTTGATTGAATATATATAAAAAAATATATATATTTTGCATTGTATAAATTCACTTTTCCACATCCAAAATGTAATTGTTATATGTAAACAATGTTTGTAAATCCCAGGCCCTGAAGATGACCTCAATAAAGATCGAAACGTTGGCACGATAAAATGTTTTTCTGAAACCTACATCTCACCAGACCGCATCTCACGATTTCTAAATAAATATATTGGATCATATCACTATTAAAAAAAGCAGTGCCTCTTCACTAAATCAAATTCTTCTTAACAAGAACTGGATCAGTTGCTATGCGGTTGTCCATAATGCCACAAAATTGAACGCATCTATCTGGGTCAAGGTGCCAATTAAGTTGAATATGGTAAGGATGAAACTTGTCTTTAAGCAGTGTCAACCACACTGATTTCAGAGAGACATCACCCTTTTGGGTACTTGTCTTATAGAATACTTGTCTTATAGAATGAGTGGGATCCTCAACAAAAGTACATACATATTAATTACACCATTGTGAATATTTATCTAGAAAGCATAAAGTGCCTTAAGTAAAGCATTCTTTTAAAAAAATCCTAGAATTGAGTTTTATTTAAAAGTATACCGTCCAATTAAAAAGAAAAAAACCACCGTAATAATTTATACAAAATGGTACATTTGGTTTGCTTAACCACAGGAAAAATTAAATATTTAAATTGCTAACAACAAATTTCAAAAGTAAAAATTACTATAGAAATTTTAAAACTTTAAGGTTCTAAGTGATGATGAAAAACGGCAACAATATGATCAGTGGGGATCATCTGCAGAACAGATGTGGTCAGGAAGCGGACGTGGAAGCAATATGGGTAACGAAGGATTCAGATGGCAGTACAGTTCATCTATCGACCCTCATGAGCTTTTTAAGAAGATCTTTGGTGGTTCAGGTATTCCTAACAACTTTGATGATTTTGCGGAGTCCCGTTTTGGGCATAGCGCAGCTGAGGAAGTATGTTTTTAAATTAGAAATATTTTAAATGAAATTTAAACCGAATGTGTATTACAGATTATAATGAAGCTGTCGTTTTCTCAAGCTGTCAGAGGTGTCAATAAAGATGTGTATGTAAATGTAGTGGAAATATGTCCAAAATGCAATGGCAGCAGATCAGAGCCTGGGACAAAACCTATTAAATGTTCATACTGCAATGGTACCGGTTTTGAAACAGTATCGACAGGTAAATAATGTGCCATGGCAATTCTCGAACACAGTATATTATATATTCTTTGCTTATTATTGTATATTGTACTGGTATTTTTCTAGGTCCTTTTGTCATGAGGACAACTTGTAGATACTGCCAGGGGACAAAAATGTTAATTAAATTTCCTTGTGTTGAGTGTGAAGCAAAAGGAAGTGTGGTACAAAGAAAAAAAGTTACCGTTCCAGTCCCAGCAGGTATTGTGATGATGTACCTTTCATAATAATTTTATTATATATATAAACATCAACTTATCAAAATATGTACGGTTATATTTTATATATAATATAATACGAGCGAAAACGTTAACCGAAGGA